CCACACGTACGGGAAGAGCTATGCAGCCACAACCGCGGTGGGGGAGGTGGGGGTAGAAACAACCTCCTGCGCATCAGGATAACCAACAATTCGTACCAGCGTTACTTTCACGCAGCGATTGGCGGCATAGAACATCAAACCCACGACGTTGCGAGGTCCACGTGTCAGCATTGGCTGGCCCTCACGCTTTGACTGCACAGTAATTTCCACGTGATGATGATGAGCCACTTTGTTGAGCTATCATTTGTGGCCAAGTCGCTTCTGGAAAATAAGTGAATCCCTCAGTTGTCTTTACCTGGTAAGATGTAAAAGAAGTTTAGGTTTATTTCTAGACTAGTATTTTCTACCCGGCTTCGCCCGAGACTTGTATTCTTGTCTTGGAGGGTGGGGAGGGGATGCGTGACGTCAGTAGGCACACTGCGTGACGCTGCCGCATGCGGGTGACATCACAGATGTGACGTCATCGCTCACCTGCCATGCAAAATATTACATCCATTATTGCGCCCCCCCCCCCCCCCAATACGAAAGTTTATTTTTATACTTTTTGCATTGTGCACAGTCTGGAAGCTACCCACATGCCAAATTTCAAGTTTGTTGCATGTCGGGAGGAAGTATGCTAAACATTTCGAACAGACACACATATTCACAAATTCCTTTTTATATATTTGTGTTTTGAAAAAGTTATTTGTTTACCTTTCCCATGTGTTGCACTCCTTCTCGTGCTGTTGTATTGTTTGTTGTTGGAACGTTCTGGCCCGCCCCCCTACTGGACATCTGTGATAAAAAAGAGCTTCATAGCTCATCGGATTCCTCCAGTATAAAATAAAGATTCCGATAGTGCGTAAACCCTCGCGTCTCCCAGCTTCAGACACCCCAGGCCACCTCCAATTCCGCCGGTGTTCGTCAGAGGATTTTTCAGAAATTCCGTGCAGTGCACGCCCAATAAAGGTTCTGAGTCCACCCAAGAACAGATGTTGCTGTTGAGTCAACAGTCGATTGCGTGGATCTAACAGGGATAACAAATTGAATTCAAACGCATACACCGGGAGAGACCGGAGATTGTATTACCCAGGACTTCCACGTCATCACTCCGTGGTTGGAGGTTAACCTCAGGCCATCAACTCTCCAAGGTCAATATATTTACGTACGATAAACTTCTTTTGCTACCGTACGTAGCCAACCGTGCTAATCGTAGGTGCGGTGGTGTATGGATAATAAACTAAGCACAAAAATGAGTACCACTGAAACAAACAGTGGTTCTTCAATGGGTATCCTCGACCCGACCATAGGAATGTGGAATCTTCACCGCTAGCTCAATGCTTATTTGAGCCAGAGATGACTTAGCCTTTTGACTTTTTATATCCTGTACTGCATTGTCAAGATCAGCACCAATGTATAATCACGTCTTTTTGCCGTTTACAGCATTAACCATCACATTCACCATCACAACTCCACGTGCAGACGTAGCTCGAGGGACGGAATGCACAGATATTGCGATTAAAGTCAATAAATAGGCTGCTCGTTAAAAAAATAAAAACCCAGAAAAGTTGTCTCGAACAATTTTTGTACGTTTTTTTTTTGAAGCAAGGAATTCATTTCCACTTCAAAGCGAGAAGGGTTAGAATGAAACACGAATCTGTGCCGTCGAGAAGGAAACCAAGTGTCATCCTTCCCACCGTGCTACTTTTGGCGAGAGAGAGAAAGAGATGGGGGAAGGGAGGCTGGGAGGAGACGGTGTTCTCCACAGCGGAGGTGAGTTGGAACAACATCTGTCCGTCCATTCCGTACCCAAACTCCAATTGAATGTCATGCCCCCTTCCAACACAAACTCCAGCCAGAATCAAAACACGGCCTCAGGATCACAGCGCGGGGGGGGGTGGGGGGGGGGCGTGAGGGGTGATCGACATTGGGGGGGGGGTGGTACAGGAGAAGAGGAGAACTTCCCACAGCTGCCCCCTTCGAATGTTTTATAGTCGTAAAACATAAAAAATAAAGTTCCTACGATTTTGAACACCGGTACTGGTTGCTCTTCAAAGTTGTCTGGCTCTGCGGACACCCCGAAAGGCAAAGATCCCCCAAGTTATAGCCTTCACAGACTATTGGGGCAAGTGCTGTTGGCGAGCACCACTGAAGCTCGGCACGGTACGCGAGGGGGTGGGTGGCCAACACCACTGCCCACTGGCGATGTTTTTTGCCCACCGCACCAGGTACTCATTTGAGTCCGAGTCGACCTAGGGGAGGGCCCAGGACCGGTTCAGATAATCGTCACCGGTGTTGGCCGTGAGCGGAAAGCGAACTCGGCGCTCGAACCGTTACACCGCCACTCCACACACACACACAGCCTTTACCTTGTACACACGGGCGGTGAGATCTATGGCGGAATCTATCGTAGACAAAATCAGATCGCATCGTTACTCATTTTGTTCAGCATCGAACATCGGACTGAAAGGTTTTTGTTTAACTGGCCCGGAAGTTTGTGAGGTTTAAAATCCTGGTTAAGCCGGGGTGGAGGATGACTCAGCCCATCATCCTTGCGCGGTCGCTAAAACGGGTACCACTTCGTGGGGAAGTCAACAGTGGTCGTTCTATGGACAGACTCGCTCCCGTCATAGGAATGTGGAATTCACATCACTGGTTCAGGGCTGTAAACGGCAGATGAGCACTACGTCAATGTCATTTTGAGTGGGTAATAACTTTTTTGTTGTTGAAAACACTACGTAACACAATTTTTGTTCCTCGGTAGTAAGTGTTATTTCCTAATTGCTTATGCCTAAAAAGTAAAGAAAATGGATATTATTCCCCACAAACTTAGTTTTTGTGGCCAGGACCGAGATATTTTTAAATTTACCCATTCTCGATGAGAAAACGTGCGAATTTTTGTCTTTTCGTTCACATAAAGTCAGAAAAAAACATATTAATAAAAATTTACATGTATTTATACTAAAGTAATAAAAAAATTACTACTAAAGATTTTGAAGTAATTAGTTGATCACTTTCACGAAGCAGCCCCCAAATGTAGTCTCCCATCATGTTCTCGTTATACTGTCCTTGGTTGCGGCGTTCAAAGTTCAGTATATCCTGGTGGAAGCGCTCGCCTTGCTCCTCCGAATACGCTCCCATGTTCTCCTTGAATTTATCAAGATGAGCATCAAGGATATGGACTTTGAGGGACATCCTACAGCCCATTGTGCCGTAGTTCTTTACCAGAGTCTCAACCAGCTCCACGTAGTTTTCGACCTTGTGATTGCCCAGGAAGCCATGAACCACTGCGACAAAGCTGTTCCAAGCCACTTTCTCCTTACCAGTGAGCTCCTTGGGGAATTCATTACACTCCAGGATCTTATTTAGCTATGGTCCGACGAAGACATCGGCTTTGACCTTTGCCTCAGACAGCTTAGGGAAGAAGTCTTGCAGGTACTTAAAGGCTGCCGACTCCTTATCTCCAGCTCTGACAAATTGTTTCATAAGGCCCAATTTGATGTGCAGTGTTGGCATCAGCACCTTCCGGGGGTCCACCAGTGGCTCCCACTTGACGTTGTTCCTCCCCACAGAGAACTCGGTCCGGTGTGGCCAGTCCCGTCCTGTGGTAGTGCGCCTTAGTGTCTAAATCTTTTGTCGTAATTTTTTAATTACTTTAGTATAAATACATGTTAATTTAGATTCATATTTTTTTTCTGACTTTATGTGGACGAAAAGGCACAAATTCGTCCGTTTCCTCATTGAAAATAGGTCAATTTAAAAAAAGAAGATCACTGTCCTGGTCACAAAAGCAAAGTTTGTGGGGAATAATAGCCATTTTCTTTACTTTTGAGGCGTAAGCAATTAGGAAATAACACTTACTACCCAGAAACAAAAAAAATGCGTTACTCAGTGAAATCAACGTTTGCCGAACGTCGATTGTCATCCGGCTCCAAATCACCACCCTTCCGCTTCAAACAAGGTCAGGCTATAGGCCTGGTCAGCATGATGATGCAGAAAGTCCACACAGCTGTACACCACAACCGCGAACAAAAACCACTTTAGGATATATACAGCTCCGCTTTGAAAGACAAAAAGGTGAAGGCGCATCACTGCAACTGCTCGGTCGCGGCACTGCTGGCGGAAGGGGACTCGGTTAGAGGCAGTTCTGAGATCGTACCCCTTCTACAGGTTGTGTTTGGCCTACTCTTCCACGCTGGCTAGATGTCTCGGTTTGAGACTGGACAGCCAAAAACACTCTACTCACTCCAGTAAACCCGATTGCTAGAGAAATCAAAAGCTTAAAACAAAAATTCAACAAAGCCACAATAAATAAATAAATCCACCGTACATTTACGTAATTCTATACACGTGGAAAAGTATGTATCCCTGCAAAAAAATGGATACAAAAAATATTTTTTTCCACACACCAATCGTAGCATGTTGTGCCGCTGAGCGGAACACCGCTCACGTGTACAAACATTGCTCAAAGTAAAATTGGTTTACGCGTGCACATCACCGCCTTGTGGTGGATCGGCCCCGATAATCTGCGTGGAGCCAGGCACTTTGGTTGTCTGGGAGACAGAGGGGGTGTGCGGTGGTGCTGGTGGTGGTGGTAGGGGGAGATGATGGGGAGAGGTAGTGTAGTGGTTAATGCGCTGCGCTATAAACCCGGTGAGCCGTGTTCGATTCCCGCTCACGGCCGACACCCAGTAATGATTATTTGAACCGGTCCCGGGCCTCCCCCTAGGTCGACTCAGCCTCAAATGAGTACCTGGTGCGGCGTGTAAACATCTCCACTAGGGAGACAAAGGCGGTCGGGCGTGGTGCTGGCCACCCACCCCCTCGTGTACCGTTCCGGCCTTCATTAGGTGCTACTCGCTAACAGCACTTGCCCCAACAGTCTGTTAAGGCTGTACGGGGGATCTTTGTCTTTGGTGGAGGGGGGGGGGGGATGGGGAGGGGGAGGGCTGTTCGCTGGAGGGGAATGATGGGTGGCGCTGCGGAGGGGCTGATTGGGAGTCAGTCAATGAGCTCGCTGCATTGGCACCTGCTGTAGCAGAGGTTAGGCGGCAGATGGCTTGTAACCCGGCTCTCAGCGGGATGCGTGGAACTTCTTCTCGTGCCGTTGGATTTTGGCTGCGTTTGCAACGAGAGTAAGGTAAGGAAGGGGGGAATGACACGGCTGTTGGGGTGCTGTTGCTGTTTTTGTTGTTGTTGTTGTTGCTGCTGCTGATGTTGCTCTTCTGGCAAAATAAATGGCAGTATTGCGTGTTGAGATGTAGAATTTCGCTTCTCAGAAATTCGTGGAGGATTAAGAAAAAATACGGCACGAAGCAAATTTAATTCGCGTTTTTTATTCGTAGAGTTCTGAAACAAATGTTTGCGAAACGTGAAATAGCTTGGTATAAATTGATGAAATCGTGAATCTAGTTTAAGAAAAACTTTCGACGAACATAAACACATTTCGAGTGAAGCTAAAAGGTCTGAATGCCATCCTCGGCATCAACATACTCAGCTACAACGAGCCAAGAAGATATGACTTACGATTACTAAAGCAATGACCGTATTTGCAAAAAAAACCGCTATTATAATTACGGTATTATACTTTCATAGTCAAAATAACTTTGCCCTTTTAAGGATACGTCGGTAAAAATTTTTTTTATTTTAGATGCACAATGATAAAATAATGTTCTTTTTTTTAAACGGTCTTCTATGAAACCACTCTCTCAGTTTGTGTCCCCGTGGTCATGGGTAAAAGCATTCCAATGCGCTCATCCAGTGATTTAACAATGACGCGGATCGCGAGAATGCATCTAGAATGTTCACACGAAGTGCAAACCTCAACACGAGGGTCATACAAGAGAGAGAGAGACCAACCCCCGCCCTATTATAGATGACGTCTCAGGCAAGGGCCCTTTCTCATGGTACATTGATTGAGAGGGCAGGGAGATGGGGTGGATACGAGTTGGAGATTGCACCTTACGTTCAGGTGACGTCTCAGGCAAGGGCCCTTTCTCATGGTACATTGATTGAGAGGGCAGAGAGATGGAGTGGATACGAGTTTTCACTCGGGGTGGGTGGGTGCGTGATACGAATTCAATCAATTCATGATGACCGTTTGTTTTGGGTGAGATCGCGTACATACAAGTGTGTTGTACACCCACCAACCTTTTACCGTTCGCCTTTTGGCGTTCTCTGGTCTGACACCGGTGGGGAGACAAGACCATGGGGCAGGCTGTCTCTGATGCAGGCCAATCAGTTTCAAGACATTGCATCATATTATCAGAGCCGTGTTTGTTTGCATGTTTGGGCACAAGTACGTGGTGGTTGATGCAGACTTGATGCCTGGCGAAAGGTTATCTTGTTTGGTGTTTGAACACCTGAACACCCTCTGTTTTATTGCCAGAAAGGGTGAAAAAGGAAACCGATAATTTTTTCCTAACCCACCTCCTTCATCCGGACGTTGTGCGAACGTTGTGAACAGCACGTGCCAATGCGTTGCGACCTCAGCACCAACAGGTTGTGCGTTGGACAGCAGGACGCACACGTGACATCACCTGACGACCGCCTGCTGATGCTGGTTGTCGTCATCGCCAGCGAAACGTCGTACTCGATTTGTAAATGCTGCTGTGCGTTTGCCCTCCAGCACGCAAGCGGTGGTGCTGAAGTGGTCAACGAATTGGTCACGTTCTGTTCACGGCGTGAGAAACCTCACTGATGTGAAACGTGATTTGAAGCTGACTGATGTGCCCTGTCAGGTGGTGGGGGGCGTACGACGCATTTAGATGGACGCTATCTAACCCAAAATAAACTTTGTCACGATTCTTGTAGGTCGCGAAAGCACACGTGTTCATGACTTAAAGCTTTCGTGACTGCAGGAATTCATATGCTTTGGGTATTTCGGTAAAGTCACGTAGATAGGTTCAAAGAAAATAAAAATAAACCTTTATAAACAGTTTGCCTTTAGAAGCTAACCCCCTTTCCATGATGACGACCGCTTATGTTGCGATAGAAATGTCATCGTTTTTTTTTATTTCCTTTGAACCTATCTGCGTGACTTGACCGAAAGACCTAAAAGAACGCATACGTGTTCAAAGTAGACTCAAACGAACCTCATTGCTCCGATATAACAAATACAAAATTATTGACATCGTACCGTATTTTAGGGTCGGTAAACAAGCAAGCGAGATCATGAACCCGCCGCTCTGTGGAACGACACGAAGACAAACTTTCGAATGCATCGGGCTGCAGTGCACAAAACAACACACCGCTGTGTAACTACAGCTCGATGCATTGCTACCGAGGTGGCATCGCGGGCTCAGAGGGCCAAACACGCGAAAATCATAAAAATAAAACATAATAAAATAATGTTTAAATTTTATTATTTTATTATTTCCATTCTACGTGACTTTACCGAAAGAACCAAGAAGATGAATCCCTGCAGTCACGAAAGCTTTAAATCAAAATTTGCTCGCATCAAGTGACGCGACACTGAGCCAGTGAGCAGTGTGGCGAGAACCCTGTAGGGTTTTGTCGCGGATCCGAGGGACTCCCACGTAAGACGAAGCCGAGATTTTCGCAGGCTTCCATGATCCCTATCTTCTTAAGAGCATCCGGCACAAATTTAAAATTACGCAATCTCAATGTTTCGTCGTTGATGCTGTTGCCCATAATTTGGTGATGCGTTACAATTTGAAGAGGTGGGGGTGAGGGTGGGGGAGAAGGCTTCGCTTAATGAAGGATTGTGCAGCGCAAGAGGCAATGGAGGGGAAAAAAACTGCGCACTTTCTCATTAGCAGAGCAGAACAGGGCACGAGACAGCCCAAGTGGTCTCCTCGTGCAAGTCGAGTTGATAGACCCTTTGAGTGGGCGGTTTGTGCGGGGGGTGTTGTCACCGTGGCCTAACGGCTAACAACACCACGATGAAAAGGTTGGGCGGTTCGATCTCTCGCCGCGGCAGTCGAAAGGCGACGGCGCCAAGTTTCGTGAATTCTCCCAAGCCTCTGTCCACCCCAGTGGTAAACGTGACCAGAATTATAAATGGGCACACCACAGTTAGTCGATCGGTAAGTCGCGTGTGCGGCGGGGGTAAAATTTGGGTAACTCTCCCACCTCTTCGAAGACGGCTGGCCAGCGTGGAAGAGTAGGCCAAATGCCCGCTATGTACCGATCTAGGTGGTAGGTGATTCTGCTTGCAGTGCAGTGCGCGAGCTCTTGCAGGGCTGTGCCTTTAGCTACGTGGGTTCACTTGTGGTCTCGGCGTGCCGCTGGAATAGAAACGCGTCTGGGTTTTGGAGCTGGGCGCCGATACCACAGATCAAGATAATACCGCACACTTCACATTATATAAGACGGTCCGGTGTCAATAAAGTTATACAAATCTGGACTCACAAAGACAAAGATTTCGATTTAAAGCTTTCGTGACTGCAGGGATTCATCTTCTTGGTTCTTTCGGTAAAGTCACGTAGAAGGAAAATAATAAAATAATAAAAATAAAACATAATAAAATAATTCTCACGACGTTTCGGCCACAACGCAAGCATTCAGACTCTGCCTTCTCGACAAACCTGTTCTCCACCTGAAGACGGCTGCTTGCGTTGTGGCCGAAACGTCGTGAGAATTATTTTATTATGTTTTATTTTTATTATTTTATTATTTTCCTTCTACGTGACTTCACCGAAAGAACCAAGAAGAAAAAAAGACAAAGATCTCCCGTGTAGCCTTAACAGGCGATACACGAGGGGGTGGGTGACCAGCACCACGCCCGACCGCCTTTGTCTCCCCAGTGGCGATGTTTGCACACCGCACCAGATACTCATTTGAGGCCGAGTCGACCTAGGGGAGGCTCAGGACCGGTTCAAATAATCGTCACGGGTGTTGGCCGTGAGCGGGAATCGAACTCGCAGGGCAGCGCGCTAACCGCTACACTACCGCCCCCCCATACGCACACACGCGCACGTGCACACACCCACGTCTGACGCACCCCCTAAACGTAAGTTTTAAAATAGGAACAGGCGGGAGGGAGTTTGTGGGGGGGGAGGAGAAGTGAGTCTTAGAATCGGGAGAAGACGTCAACTGTTGAGCAAGCGAACAAATTATGTCACAAAAGGATCACAAAAGGCCACGGCAGTCTGACCATCGCGGTGGAGAATGTGAGGATAAGACAATTTGCTTGTGCAACTCTCACCCGATCAACCGTCGCTGCCTCCCTCCGCCCAATCGAAGCACCCCCAACCCCCCCCAACCCCCCCCCCCCGCATCTTCTGCACTCGCTCGTTTGACCCGCGCCGCGAAGGAGTTTCAACGCCCACCGCCGTTCCCACCTTTTGTTTCCTCGTTCAGCCCACTGTCACACAGGCAGCCGCAACGCAGCGCTGCGAACATCTGCTGACAACAAACACCCGTGTGCTTACATACACACGCACACACACACACACGCGCACACGCACACACACGCGCACACACGCACATGCGCACACACACGCACGCACACACACACGCACGCATACAAACACACACGCGCACACACACACACGCGCACGCACGCACATACGCACGCACACACGCACGCACACACACACACGCGCACACACACGCGCGCAAACACACACACGCGCACACACACACGCGCGCACACACACACACGCACACACACGCGCACACACACACACGCGCACGCATGCACACACACGCGCACACACACACACACGCGCACACACACACACACGCACACACACGCACACACACGCGGGCACACACACGCACACACACACGCACACACACATACGCACGCACACACACACACACGCACACACGCGCACACACACGCACACACACACACGCGCACACACACACGCGCAAACACACACACGCGCACACACACGCACGCGCACACACGCTCACACACGCACGCGCACACACGCACACACACACGCACACACACACACAATCATGCACGCACACACGCACGCGCACGCGCACACACGCACACACGCGCACACACACACACGCGCACACACACACGTGCGCACACACGCACGCACACACGCGCGCACGCACACACGCACACACACGCGCGCACACACACGTACACACACGTAAACACACACACGCGCACACACACGCACGCGCACACACACACGTGCACACGTGCACACA